ATCACTGTATCAGTTGTAAATGGTAAAAATGTGATTGACGGAGGTGAGTCCATCAACTGTTCTATAATACACGGTAGTTTAAGCGATAAAAGCTTTGATTTTTATTTAGAAGCTCAACGGATGAATAGTCGAGAAGCAGGGTACTTAATCAAGCGGAGAATATTACATGTCTGTGAAATTACGATTTTCTTTTAGAACTGATACTAAAGATCCAAATTCGGCTCCAACAAGAAATTTTTCAAATTCTACGTAGCCCTGTTTTTTGTCGATATTTTTTATTCTGGTTATCGGATCTCAAATTTTTGACCAGACTTGCGATACTTGAACAGTTGCAAAGACATGTTGCTGTACATTTATTTGAATGGAAATGGAATGATATTGCAGCAGAGTGTGAACGATTTTTAGGGCCAAAAGGTTATTCAGGCGTTCAGGTATATATTTAGTTCCACTTCATAATCTATTTATTAGATTGTTAAAAATGTGCTAGGTGTCACCACCAAATGAGCATGCTATATTGGATTATGCTAATCGCCCCTGGTATGAACGTTATCAACCGGTTAGCTATAAACTAATAAGTCGCAGTGGTACGGAAGAAGAATTTATTGATATGGTTAATCGTTGTAACGCTGTTGGAGTACGGTAAGAAAGTAACCATTAGCATACCTACAGGATCTTTTTTTCTCTATTTATAACGTTTTAATGCTATAAAACATGCTTTTGCTTAAATTATAGTATTACAACGCGATAGCCGTAGCCCGTCGTGTTATAACGCGTTGCAAAGTTATCTTTTAGGGATTTATGGCGTTGTAGGTGCATAAAAATTTTCATTGCGTTACAACTCTATAAATTTATAGCATTATAATACGTTATAATACCTTAGATGTTTTATCTAATTATAATGCCATAAATTTGTAAAAACCTTTTATAGCGTTATAACTCATTAGATAATGCATATCGTATTGTAACAAGTTAATATCTAATAGATTACAGTGCTTTATTCTTTTCTATCTCATTGAAATGAGACAAGAAAATGGAACCCGGTGTAACACGATAGTTATTAATGCGTTACAACGAGTTAGACAACATCCGAAACGAAAACACATGGTTTTCTCGAAAAGGACACATTTCCGTAAAATTCTGAGACTGCCAATCGATTTCTCTCGAAAAGTTGGTCCGAGAAAAATTACTTCAACTATGCAGACATATACGTTACTGACTTGAGAAACTCCCACAGCACATTTATTACCACTGTCACGTATAGCGTTACAGCGCCTGAACAGTTAATGCATTGTAATGCCATAAATTTATGACGTTATAATGTGTTAGATATTATAGCGATATAATACATTAACCTGTAACGCGTTGCAATGTATCACAGATTAATGCGTTATAATGCGATAGGTATTTAGTAACGCCTTGTAACTATTAGCGCGTTAGTCGAATTTATAGCGTTGTAACATTATAAGACAGTCGTTGATAAAAATGCCTTATAACACTATAATTTCAATTGTTTGGCATGTAACCTGTTACCCTAATGCATTAAAGACATGCTTTTTCTAAATGTATCGCGTTATAACACAACAGAAAAGTTAACACATTATAAGGCATTATGATATGCCGAACGCATTATAATGCAATAAATACGAAAAATAGATCCTGTGGGTATAGATTACTTTTTCTGACAATAACTTTTTGTGTTTTTTATTAGTATTTATGTCGATGCTGTTATTAATCACATGGCTGCAGGAGGAATCGTAGGATCTGGTGGTAAGTAATCTTTTATAGAAGTCTAGTCCTACTTTTTAAAGTTCGTTTCATTCACTTATTCAGGGTCATCATATTCCACTTCAGAAAAAAGTTATCCAGCAGTACCGTATTCAAGTTGGGGTATGTACTATAAAGTTAATTTTAAGTTAATATATAAACCCCCGTCCACATTAGAAGCCCAGTGGGCTTCTATTATCTCCCGCAAGAAAGGCAAAATTTTCTCAAAAAGTACCCTATGGGGGCAGGGGCAATTTTCAAAAATTTCTTCCTAGACTGGGCTTCTAATGTGAGGGGGATTTTATACGATTGTTGGATCGTTTTCTCGTTTTTTTGTTTAGATTTTAGTGATAATATGTGTAATACAGCAAGTGGTGGTATTGAAAACTACGATGACATCTATCAGGTAGATGAATCCTCCTCGTAGAACTCATCTTCACACTCTTGAGTAGCACACTTGTGATATGAATGGATTTTGCGTATCCTATCTCTGAATTTATAGGCAACAATAATGCGGATCTAATTAAACTTTAAGTTGCTTTTGCGACAAGACGGAGATTTTGTGTTAACTAGGGTATTCTTACTTATCAACAGGCAATAGTTGTAAGCTCCTACATACCGCATATAATGGCATGTCTTTCAGACCTCAAAAAAAGTCAAGAAAGCAACGGTATTACGGCAAACATAACAGAGACGGAGAAGCCCGAGTCACGACTCTGACTCGAATCCGATCGAGTCTCATTTTCCTATGGCTCGGACTCGAACTTGACGAAAAGACTCCATAAACTGACTCGAGTCGGTCATGTGAAACTTTGGATTATTATGACGGTGTTCATTATATTTTTTATATACCATAGAGGTGGACTGATTTGAGAATATTCTAAGTAGAACACCGCGTCACATGAAAAGATTCAGGATCTAGAAAAGGACACACAAACAAACAAGTAATAGAAAATGGCGCTGCAAGATTTTTCTTGAGAAAATGAATCAGGAGGAAGTTTACTTCTAGAAAATGATTTGAAATGACTCGAAGTGACTCTAGTCAATGTCTCGGAGATCTCGTCCAGCTGTAAGTGACGTTCTATTCTGAAGATACGCATTTTTCAAGATTTTCCAATGGAACTAGAAAAATCTTGTTTTCGATGTTAAAAAAGCTCTCCCATGTACATACAAAGGCGGCAAAACTTTGTATATGTGCAGTCATGCAAAATAAAGGGTTCTCCACAACATGACCCAAAATCTTCTACTATGCAAATGTCAACAGCAGACTTTAAATAGTTTAAGGGTACCTCCCCTCTTTTCTTGCAAAAAAAATTGTCATTTTGAACTGAACATAGTCTAATGTAGAGGAAAGTCTGGGCTATAAAATGACACCACTTCCGGCTCTCCATGACTTTCCTTGAAAAATTACGAAGCTTTTAAGTTTTTCCTTCAAACCCTTGAAAATCTTAATTTTCAGGTTCGTAAATTTTTCTCTCCTTTTCTATATATTCAAACGTTTTTCTTATATATAGCATGATAAAAGAAAGTGTGTTCTTCAAAAATAGATGTTTTCCAGAATTTTCCGATGAGTTTTCTTAGATATATAAGCATTGCCGCAAATGCCCTGAAAAACAGAGCCGTGTGTACAATATGCGTTTTTCTCACTATGCGTTTTTTAATAGTCCCTTCAATTGGCACCCATTACGCCCCCTCAAAAAAAATGGTC